ATTTGCTGAGGCAGCCCCGTCCAAGGGAGGGTGTCCTGTATGATCGCTTGTGCGCCAACTGCCAGATGCTTTTCTAGTTCTGCTCTACCTTAGAGCAAGGCTGGATCTGAGGTCTGGCAAAGAAATAAACAATCTAAACATGCTTATGCTTTCAGAGGGTACAACTCTCCATTCTGCAAAGAAGTGGGGTGAAACTTTACCAAGTCCTGGCACTCACAGCCCAGCTGAGCAAAAGCTTGGACAAAAGAATGCTTTTTTTAAACAGTATGAGCAATACAGCAGTCAGAGAAGTGACTCCTCAACTAGCTAACAGCTGCATGCATTTTATCCCTGTTCAGTCCCAACATCATCCAGTTTTCAATTAATTGAAATGATTTTTAATCTAAAAGATGTTTTTCCCCTTTTTGGGTGACGTACATAATATTACTCTTTTGGACAAATCTTATTGACTGAGCTTATTGATATATAGCTCTGCCTGTAGCAAGCAGAATCTGGGACAAAAGAGGGGAGGTAAGTTTGGCACAGGAACAAAGGATAGGTGTTAACTTTTCCTTGAAATACCACAGGAACAAAATATGGACAATCTCCTAGCTATGGAAGCTGATACTGTTGTACCAATTTAGGTCCAGAGTAGCTAGGTACATGCACATGTTCCAGTACAGCTAATTAGATGGAAATTCAGCCATGCTTATACATGTGACTGTGATTATCTTAAGAGGTGTTGGAGCTGTTATAGGATTCTGGACTCCATCATAGCTTAGAATAAATGACAGATAAATGATAAAATTTAGTTGATATATGTATCTTAAGGCAATTAATGAGCTGGAACTGCTGTAGTAGAAAGGTAAGAAACAACATTAAGGAAAAAAAAGCAAGCATAATATCCCTTGGAGAAAAGAAATACCTGATACCTTCAACTCTGCCATTTTGCAAAGTTTTAGGAGGAGAACTTTAACTTTTCTGCTAAGTGAAAGCTCATGTAATTCTTCATCTACAGCTAATTTTTGCATGTGTTAGAGAATAATGCAGATCCCACCAATATTCTTCATCTTACTTCCTACGCAACTAGCAATTTAGTGCTTAAATGTTTGGATGTCATCATTTCCAACTGTATGATTTCCAGTTCCTATTCAATCTGTGGATAAATAGTGGCTTGAAACTCTACAGTATAAGATGTAGCTGCCTTTATTTCCCAACCTGTTCTGCTACAGTGAGAAAAATGCCTCCTGCAACATCTCTGTGCACTCTCTAACCTCCTTCTCATCACCCCAGGCAAAACTTAGACTTACCATCCTTTCTGTCTCAGAGAACAAACTCAGGCAGAGGAAAAAAGGCCCAGCGATAGAAATGCTGCTGCCTTTAATTAAATCACAATGAAGTTTCTAATTGTAGCCCAGGGAAGAGTCTTTTAAGTTAACTCAAATGTGTTATAGCAAACACTTGAGATGCAAGGTAGAAGTCATTCACCACTTTTTCACATTAGCACATATTTAAATTGGTTTCTACAAATAACTCAGAAAGCATCATTAAAAAACATTGACCTGCCTTAAGCAAAAACAAATTCGGAGGCTCCTTTTTCTGCCTTCTCCAGTGCAAATAGCACAGTCGTCTTCTCAGTCCTTGTTACCCCCTAGTCAAGTAGAAGTAAATCTTCGAGATTTTTCAGAGAACCTATTTCCTACAAGAAGAGAAACTGATAAAGGCTCAGAGTATTTTCTCCTAAATGTTCTTTGTTTTCAGAACGTACTAACTCAGGTCTTGCTTACCTTAATCACAGAAAGCAACAGCGACCATGCTATTTTCAAGCATTTTTCACTTAAACAAATTTATGCTAAGACACATCTATGGCAGCTCTGTAATAAGAAAACACACTGTCCCTCTCTCTCCTCAATATCCCTTCTTGCTCCTTTCTGTCTCACTTGAGATAATTTCTAGTCCAAAGTGTCACGGCCATTGCTGTTCTCCTCTTTCTAAGAAGAGGTACCACTACAAGGATTAGTATACTTTAGCCACAGAAATTTCAAAAAGTTGGGTAGTTTTGAAAAAGCAGGACAAGGAAAGTGTGTTCAACCCTTGGCCTGAAATGCTATTTTTAGTATAGATTTACCAGATATTACTAACAGATCACATTGTTCTGAAGAAAAAAAGAAAACACCGTTTCTATGTAAATGGAAATTATCACTAGCAAGAACTATTCAAGTTCTATAAAAACATCAAATACAAACAGATATTATACCTGAACTAAAAATCTAGGTCACACTATAAACACCTAGTATCACACCGCATACGCTCCATATTTCCTGTCCAAATACTGCTTTCTCATATTTACACATTCTGATTCAAATGCCCCGGTAATGACATAGCAGCCATGGAAAGGCTCAACAAACTAAGTCTTTTTTTTAATTACAGTTATAGATTAGATGTCTGATTTGTAGCCTTTCCTTTCGAATCTTTTTATTTCAACACCAAAGAAAATATGTAGTGAGGCATTTATGTTTGTCCTGACTCCACGTCCACCCTAATAAATTCATTAGCGAGACAAGTTGTACAAATGTTGTCTCCATGTCTCTCTTCTTCAAAGCTCATTATTTCTTTTTCACTTAACATTTTCACGTTAGAACACATTTGGCATTTTTGTTTATTTTTAGCCACTAACAAAAGTGTTGGGCTGGACCTGACAGCCAGAAACAGCACTAGTGTCCTCCCCGCACATCCTTCCTGCACAAGAAAATCGCCCCTTATCCAGGTTAAGTGACAGTCCAGCTGCTCCATGCTGCCAACACTGGGCAGAGTGGATGGAAGAAAGCCAAGGTGTGGCTCCTTTCATGGAACAAAAAACAGAAGGGACCATCTAATGGTGCAAACATACATGCATTTCAAATTGAATTAAATAACTTACAAAAATAATCTTTTAGGGGAGCAGGGAGAAAGGGGAGGAGGAGAGGAGAGGGAAGTTTGACCTTCACAAAGGCCAAAAAAACCCAGAATGCCAGATAATTGCCTATAATCTAAGTTCCAGCCCAAATAAAACTTCTTATTTATTGTGGCATGAGGTTCAGCCACTTTTCTCACAGAGAGAAAGGGGCTTGTGGATCGTGCCTCAGGTCCACTAAGTTTCAGCAAAGACCTATCTATACAGAGAACAAAGACAAGGAAGACAGAGGTAAATAATAAAGTTGTTCCTCGACCTCATAGCCTAATCACTTAAGTATGATATGGGCCTCAGACGGCATCTATGTTGCTAATGGCAAAGTTAAAAAACAGACAATGATCCAAAAGATAAGGAATTTATATTTTGGCTGTTCTTTTACATCAAGAACATATCTTTGTCCTCAGAGATTTGCATGACTCTTGGACAAGGCTGAAGCAACCCAGTCTGAATTCAGTGTTGACCCTACCTTGAGTGGGAGGTTGGACTAGATGATCTGTTGACATCCCTCCCAAACTGGATGACTCTATGATTTTGAGAACTGCCTTTCTACAAGCTTGGATACCTTCAATGTCGCCTTAAAAAAAAAAAAAAAAGAATTACTAGAATTCATTAGGATACTTGCATTTCATAAAGCTGCAACTGTGCACAACTTATACTCCCCCAGCTAGCAAAAATATCACTGTAATGTGTGATGCTACCTCATATTGTTCCACCTCTGCATCTGCTTCTTTTTGGAAGTATGAACTGCCTTATTTCAGAGTCGTTTAAAAAAAGTTTCAATTCAGTTAAAACAGTGCAAAGTTGCATGTTGATTAAAATTGTTTATTTAAGTTTAATATGCTGCGGGATTTTGATTTTTGTTTATAGACTTCTGTTAGAGCAAACCACTCAGGTTAAACAGTAATGGGGATGTGTATATGTGTATGTATATATGCACATATAGAAATAAAAGTATATAGAACATACGATGTATAATATATGTTATATATTAAGTATTATGTACTTTGTGTATTATATATAAAAATACAAAGCTAGTTTAACAAAATCCAAATTTTAAAATCTATCATTAAACATCTATTTTTGTGTACAGAAGGCCTAGGCTTGGCTCTCTGGCATCCTAACATCTTCTTTAAATAACCTCTTTCCATGGGGGAACCTCCTACATTATTTATAGGTATTAATGTATGAATCTGTAAATATGGTCAATAGTTCATAATCTACAAAGCTTCTATGAATCACATTAAGTCAGAATAGCCTTGAGGAGACATGGCAAGCCACCAAAGTAAGCAATACACACTTTAAAAATAATCCCCATTTATCTGAGAAACAGTACATCAAACAAATACTTGACCTGTGCATTCACAGACTTCATAAATAGTTTTGATAAGCAATTAATAGTGTACAGTTAACCCACAACACACATCATCCATAGGTTTCTAAGTGCTTAACAAGATGCTAGGTCATTGTTGCTCCCATTTTACTGCTGGAAGAGCTGAAACAGTAAAGTTAAATGACTTGTCTGAGGTCTCGTAGGAAATCAGTGTCGGGAATGGGGGAAAAGGCCCATGACTCTGACTCTCAAAGCTATTCTCAAGCCACAGAAGACTAAACCATGATTAAACGTATAAATAAAAGTTGAGACCAAAAAACTTACTTGCATTGTCTTTGGTTCTCCTGATTCAAATTAAAAAAAAAAAAGATTTATCATAGGTACAGGTGATCATTATTGCAGCAGTTTGCGAATTAATAAAATCAGATATTTCAAAGACATTTGTGGGAGGAGGCTCTCTAATAAAAGCCAGATGCTTAGAAATGGGACAGAGGCATTGAGTAAGCTAGATCCCAGGGTCCCCTGGAACCATCAAAACTGAACTTATTGTAGAACAAGGTTCCAGAGAACTCCCCAAAATGGAAAGGGGCATTTCTGAGTTGCAAGTGTTTCTGCAGAAATCCCTGCACTAACACTTTCCTTAAGCTGTAGCATGGAGAGCATAGCAGAGAGAAGGCTGCAGGACTGCTTAGCTCCCAGGAGGGCTGGCAGGGCCCCCTGGAAGCACAGGCTGCTTGGAATACAATTGCTCTAAAGCTGAACCAGGGCTTGGTCAGACACACAGAGCAGACTGCGATCGTGGCAGCATAAGGCCATAAGGCTTGTAGAGAATGCCACTGCTGCACAGGGTCTTCATTTCTGCAATACAGCTATTTTTGTGATTACTTCTGGATTTAGCATGTCTTATATTTCAACATAGCACCACATTGCTAAATGCTAATTAGAAATAGCACTTGTTACACACTGTGTAAATATACTGTCTTGAAAAGGACTGGGATTTAACAGGAGGATATTTCTACTGGAAGAGACAGACATCCCGTGTGGACTTCTACTTTAAGTGGCTCTAGAAACTGCACTTAGATGGCACACATACTGCTTGCAAAGGATTTCAGTATGTAATAACTCTTTCAAGCAACCACCATCAATTTCATAGGTATAGCACAACATTAAACACAAACTTCACAGAGGGAAAAACTACATGCAGAGATGGGCTGGGAAGAGAGAACAATGCCACTTGCAGTGTGGTACCTAAGGATCTTTCTTCCCTTATATCATCCAGTCATATTCACATTGCAAATACCTTTGTTTGCTCCCACAGATGGGGAGCTTGGGACTTCAGGTCTATAAGTCAGGCCACATGGCCCATTTGTTCTCATGCTTTTCTCTTTTAGTTTTGTTTGCCAGCTGGGCTCTTCCAGTTTTCCTGCGGCAGCAGATATAGAGGCCTTTGCTTCAAACCTTTAAGGAAAACGAAAGTGAAGAAAAAGGGGACCAGCAAACAGACATGTTGGAGTTTCTCAGGAAAGATGGAAACAAACTCAATGTGAAACACATCTCTGAAATATTCCATTTGGACAGACAGTGCTAGAGCCTCCAAAAGCAAATCTTATCCTTTAAAAATCCCTTTATAGAACAATTACATGATTATTGTAGCAAGTGAGAGAACAGTTAATCAGAAAGGCATGGCTTTCCATAAATAAATGACCAGGTATCCGACTCTCCAGAGCCCTGAACTTTATACAGAACGAACATTTAATTTGCTAACATTCTGCAGTAGGTCAAGGCAGAGGAGCTTCAGGCCTTGCGCTGTAACAGTACACAGTACTGGCAGTAGGGATTACCGTGCTGCTATAGTGAGACATTCACAGAATTTCTATGCAGAAAATAGCTATCAGAGGACAAGTGAACCCACTCTTTCTGTTGTTCTGCCAGTTTTTCTGCCAAGCATTTTACTAGGACAGGGTCTACCTTGGAGTCAAATTTATTAGCAAACCAATGTCCATAGTTCATAAGCCATCTTAATTCTGCAGCCCCATAGATGCACACGCTGCGAAGGTGGGTACCTGTGCATGGGGGATACAAATGGTCTTCAAGATAATTCCATTTCACCAAACGAGTTTTGCTTTGTAAGTCTGTTATATCCTGTGCCGACCTTGGAATTTCCCCAGGGACCCCAGGAACACGTGCAAGAGTGGCCCAGAAATGTTCATCCGGAGAGTAAGTATCCCTTGACCAATCAAAAAAATCTTTTGCGAGAGAGCTTTCAAGGGTATACTGAATAAATGCTCGACTTAAAACAAAATAGGCACTGCCTACAAAAACCTCAATATTATGGGGTGGTGGATTCTTGGAAATGTTAGTCTTCACAGGCATCTGCATGTATTCATAAGGCACTTTCATAAGTTCATAGTGATAAGTAAATCGTTCTCTTTTGCTACTGCTTGGCTTTATAGTTTCCAGCATATTTCCCCCACCAAGTTTTTTCAGTTCAGCAACCAACTGGAAGTTCGACCTCAAAGGGAAATCTTGGCCACACAAATTAATAACATACTTCCAGGGAACTGAAGAGTCTATCAAATCAGACAAACAATTGAAATCTGCTTGCAGCCTTGAAATATGTGCATACTCCACCGTTTCCAATTTTGATGCAATGAAAATATTGGAGAAACATTTAGCTAGATTGTTCATAGCAGATTTGAAACTTTTTGCTGCTTTTTGGTCATAATGGATGCAGTATATGTTTTGATGGCCATACAGTGAATGTATAAGCCTTTCTACCATTACTGCATCTTTATGAACAACCAAAGAATAGGCTAATGGAAAATTCTCTTCCTCTGGAGAAACAGGTTTTAGGTGGTATTTCCTAAGCGTATGATACAGATGGCAATCACTTGTCACTGCTACAACGTCTTCATCAGCTAAATCAATTATTTCTTTTCTTCTTATCTCTAAACTCTTGCCAATTTCACTGGGATCTTGTTCATATATAGATGAACAATTAATTTCATAATGGAAGTCATTTCTAAGATTGGAATACCTGTTTCTAACATAAGAAGAAGTGCTTAAGAAGTGCTCAACCAAATAAATGCCCTTATGTGAAAAAAAGAGTCTTTCAACATGGAGGAGTTTCAGCAGTGCAAGCAGCCACCCTGCAAAACACAGGATCAGAATCTTCTTTCTTGTGGGATGTTTGTAGGGACATTTATGTCTCTTCATTCTGTAGGAAGATAGAGATATATTTTAAATCAGGAACAATACATGAGAGGCAATCCAGCTTCTAACAAAGACGTGAGCACATTGTCACATGAACACCACTGTAGCAGGAAAGGGCACTGGAAGTCTACAAATCGTTTACTCTGTTTAAATATTCACTGTTCATATTAATGTTAATTGAAAAACTAGCAAAGAGTAGTTCCTTACTCGGAATAAGCTGACTGAAGGCAAGAAAACAAGTCAGATTTGAGATAGTATCCCACAGAATAAGTGTGTTGGGATAAGACTCCTACTGCTTATTTTCCAAACTTTTTTTATTTCTTATGAGCCACCCCTCTTGGGCAGAAACATGACTGTTCTCTGAGTAGGAAGGAGAGTTTATTCTCCTGAGTAACTCCAAGGAATCCAATGGGAGTAGCAAAGGACTCTCTTGTGAGTCTGCAGAGAACACACGCTTAACGGTAGGTATTTTAAAAAATATTTTTAAAATGGTAGTATTTTTAAAAATAAAGTATTAAACCGAAAACTTTAAAAGTGAGTCAGAGCATCCTCCTCATCTCTAGCACAGGGGCGGGGCTATGAAGATGTCCAAGGGGAAATGAACTTCCTTCCCATCCTCTCCTACAGGGTCTGACATATCTGAAGTCCTTGTGTCCAGGCTTTTGGGCAGTGATGCTAACCTGCCCTGACGCAGGAGAGAGATGAAACCACAACACTTCCATCCACTGGAGGGAGTGTATAATGCAGCCTTCAAAGGCAGGAAGGGTAGCAGCGAGCAATAGTACGTTATCCCGTTCTTTGCTGTGTGATGCAACTCTGGACTGCGGATTGCAAAAGCACAGATACGGTCCCTTTTTATGCAACGGGGTATTAATAACATACATCTCTGTAGCAGCCTTCCAACTGAGGTATTACTGCAATGAAAGCTAAATATAATGATCCTGTTTCCACGCAGTTTTGCTTTTACCAGCTGAGTGCAAACAGCATTGTTGCTATCATTGAATTTAAGTTAGGCCAGAATTCACATCCAGGTGCAGCATTAGTTTGAAGTCTATTTTCTCTTTTAATAGAACTGTTCATGCACAACAACCTCCAGTATCTTCTTTTGAAAATGAGCTGTTTCAGTATGTTTCAGAGTGAAGGAAATACCTGCCCACTTTGCCAGCTTATGTTCAGACCTGTTATTGGCTTTGAAATTTTGTAAGTGCACAATCAGCAGAAGCGTACATGTAAAGTGCTGTAAATGTTATGCAATGCCGTTACAAGACCAGAAAAGCTTCAATTCAGAACAGAATGCTAAGTGCAGTAACAATGCAGCTATTTGCAAAGGAAAGAGATGATAGAGGAGGATAGTACATAGTCTCAGCAACAGGAGAATCCCTAGACAGCCTACAGCTTGTCTCTTTATCTGTCTACACCATTCACCCTCTGCCTCCCCCCATGTCGTCAGATGCAGGATAGGGGGCACAGGCAGAGCATGGTGCGCTCCGAGGTTCCTGAAGTCATGCAAATGATGATAATGCCATGGCAAAACAGCCCTCAGTCAGTTCCAGCATTTGAGCTGGGTGGATGGATGGATCAGCACCATCTTTCTCCTTTAATTCCTGCAACAAGCGTGACGCAAATACCTGTAATGCTCTGTGTCATTTTCTCCTCAACTGTACTGACTTCAGTAGCAGCTATGCTTCCACATGCAGTAACAAAATGAAGCAAATGCTGGGGCTTCCCTTCCCCTCTTCCTCAGTTTTACAGATGTGGGAAGTGGGAAAAAATCCTGGGACCACCAGAAGTGACTCAGGTGCCTGCAGATTCCACATGACATGTAATATCAAGTATTGAGTTATGCGTGCAACACTTTTCATGAGACTAACTTAGGTATCTTTAAATGGCAGGTCTCACAAGCTGTAGCTGCACAAGCAGAGCTCAGCCTGTAAAGACTGAACTGCCTCATTAGTTCTCCCCCTAAAACATCTAAATACATCAGTTCTATAGCCAATTACCATCTAACATGAAACCTTCTGTTCCTAGGCAAATTAACCAAAAAAGCCAATAAGCCACACTTACCCAGTTGAAACTAATCTAAACTTCTGGAGTCTGGTACAACCCGGAGTCAGATCAGGACATGCAAGAAATCACTTTGACAGCGCTGAGAATTCCATCTTACTGTTGATGAGTAGAGGACCAATATTCATACTCAACTCCCTGGATATTCCTGTGGTTGGCAGTGCCAAAAATTACAAGATACTATTGTGTTGTATAAGGAGGTTACAAAAATCCAGAAGAATGTGATGACATGGTTTGCATTCTTCATGGAAGGAGGAATTCAGGTGCCCTAATGAGATATCTCATCTCTGTCACTGAATCCCTATCACTCAATCTCTCCCTGGTCCTTGCCAGCATCTGGTTAGATGAGAGTGTCAGGATCCAGCAATATATCCATAGCTCCATCCTTTTTTATAACATACAATATCACTATCACCACAGTGGTTTAGACAGTATCAGGCCGCACATGAAAGGCCTTTTGAAACTGATCCCTTAAATCCCATCCCTTAAGCACTGTAACATCTTCCCATCAGTGCGGTTTACCACAACCAACACCTCACTGTCCCTCTTGCTCCACAGACTTATCACTTTAAATGCATATTCTCTGTCATTACCTCCCAGGCACAGTCAGGACGAGCACATCAGTTATTGTTAGAAGGGCAACAACTCTGCTCTTTAGGCAGAAAAAGTTTGTCTTAAATAAGGATGAAGATAGTTTCTGCAAGAGACGGGGATTTCTTGAGGAACGGTGTGAGACTACAGAATGAACTTCTCAGTTAGAAGGGCCACCACAAATCTCATCAGTTTTTGATCCAAGTGCAAAGCTCTTATTTCTTAACATGTGCAGCACTTAAAACAAAGCCTCGCCCAGACATAGCCCAGCGCTGTACATACAGTTCTCCCTCAAGAAGGAGGGAATGAATGGCATGCAAGAGATAAGAGAGTCACCTTGAATGACCTGGTATGCCTGGGCAATAGAAGAGCCTTATCTGAAGTAGTGCTGCCCAGGTGTCACCTCTGGTTATGTTGCTCATGAATATTTTTTTCTCTGATGTTAACATCAGTTAGCTAATTATGTTCTTTTTACTGTATGCAGGATCAATGTTCCCTCTCTTTTATAAGAATTTTATATTAGGAAGGGAGCATGGCATCGCCAGCTTGCCTTCTTTTGTAAAACGTTGGCACTTCCACTTCTACATGCGTGTGAGAAGATTCCTGAAGAAATTAATGGAGACTGATCACATCTTGCAGCCCACATCATACTGCACAGCTGGTATATTAAACACACACAGTCTCTAACCTGATCAGAGGACCTACTGAGTAGGATGCAAATACTGAATGATTCAGAGAAGATAAATGGAGTGTTCTTATTTATCTTTTGCAAGAACAAAAGCAACGCTCAAAGAAAACAGATATGCAACAAATACAAGGGAAACACTTTCTTACACAATACCTAATTATAGCCTGTCATAACGTATCTTAAAGACCATGTCTCAGTAGGATTCAAGAAAGAATTAGGCAATTAGCTGGCTAACGGGAGTATCCAGAGTTACATTAGCTAAGAGGTAAATATGGACAGAAGGCTAAACTCTCTGGAATCATGACATAAGGCAATCACAAGCTGCTGAGAATTCTGACTGGAAATTTTTACCAACAAAAATTTTTATTCTGACCATTGCTCTGTCCTCTGCATCTGCTTTCTTTTTGCCTTTTGTCAGACCAGAAGAGTGATCCCTACTTAGACCCATGACAGCAAAAAATGTATTCCTCCCAGAGAACGGCTGAGTTTTCCACTGGCACATTTCTTTTCTTTTTTCTCTCTCTTTTATTTTCTCCCTGCAAGAAACTGTTTTGAGCAGCTTTATATACCTTCAAACACTTCCCATCATTTGGCTTTTGTAAACTGCAATTACACAAAAAGAGGTACAAAGTGGCAGAGGGGAAAGAACGTCACTCTCTCAAGAAAGAGGTCAGCCACAGCCTTCTACCTCCTGAATGCAAGAGCTGTGCTAGTCTAAGCCAGCAGAATAAACCCTCCCAAAGAGGATCAAGTGAAGACTGAGCCTGCTGCTCTTAAATTCAAATTCTCAGTCCTTACCTTCAAGGTACTGCAAGCCAGGCTCAGCTGTCTGTGTCTGTTTAGGGCAGTGACACTGGGCTTAGGGAAGGACCAGAAAACATGTTACACTCTTCAAGTGGGCAGTGGAGCTCCACTCCATCCTATGTGCAGCAGTTCAGTGTGCACACCTCATCCTTTGGGAGGCTGTATAAGAATTCTGAAGCTCTCCTGTGGCTCATACAACGCCCATAAAATCCTATAAAACTCATAAAACGAGAGTATAGACTTTTTCCCCCCCTTCCTCAAACATCAGCCAAGCAAACTGGATTCTGACTCACCTTACAGCAGAGTAACTTAGGGTTACCATAGTTAAACTGATGGGAAGCCCATAAGAAAGCAGGACTGTAGCCATCCTCTGCAGGGGTTGTTCCTTAGTCTCATGAACTCACACAGAGTACTAAAAGTATTGGAAGTTACGAACAGAGCTATGGCCAGCTAAGAAGTTGGGAAGGCCAAACAGAAAGCAGAAGTATGCTAGAAAATGCACACAAGGACAACAAACAGAAAATTAGACCTTGGTTTCAACTGACTAAAAGAAACAGGGGAAGATGAAGCTGATATGGAAATAAGAACAGATGGAATAATACATACGTGTTGTGTATAAATGTGTATATATACAGTGGGTAGCATAGCAAAGGTTTGGGGAAGTGAAGTCAAGTACAGATGGATCACCAAGGAGTAAATGTGGAAGACCTATTACCTCAATATTCACTTCCTGCTGCTATCAGCTAGTTATATAGGAGTTTGTCTTACTGGTAAAAATTGTTGCTCCTGTTTGCCAATTAGTGAATCTTATTCCAGCACTCTGTAAATACAAATTAACAGTTTTTAAGGCTGCAAAG